TAGATTAGTTCTTCATATCATACATATATAGCAGAAATAATACGTTTATTTTAAAAGTATGATTGTTAATAACTTTTTAACGAAGGACGAGCGACGGCTAAAACCTGTTGGAGGTTACTCAGGGTCATGACCTTGACAACATATGTCAAGGTCAAAGTCATTGGAGGGGGGTCCCCTAATCGAAACATTTACCGAATATAGTTACAAAACTAATTATTTTAACTCGATAAATATCCATTATTATATAGTTCTGAAATTCCTATATATTGTATAAAATCTTATATAGTACAGAGGTTAGAATACTCAAATAAGAGTTTACGATTTATTATGTTACGTTACGTTTATGGGCTATTGTAGACAATGCGGATTTCTTATGTTTACGTTTATGTTAAGCTTACGAACCCTATTGTAGACGCGCCTTAAGACGTATCAGTAAGGAAATCGTAACATTGGATTCGCTACCGGCCTTACTGTCTTTACTGTGATTGGCCAAAACGCTTACTGATTACATTTACGGCCTTACGTTTTTGTATGTGCCATGGGCTTAATCGTATATCATGAATATAATAAACTCCTTATCGGCACTGTGGGATTTTTATGACGTAACTGATATTTTGATTGTAAATTAAAAAAAAAGGAAATATAACCAAGTTGCATTTTGAGATAATATTGTGTGTAAAAAGTCATTGCAATTGTCAACATTTTACGGACTGGTTACGAATATATTTGTGTTTATGTGTTCGAACGTACGTTACAAATCGCTTACGAATTTGACTCGTGTTCACATCCTACCGCGTGTTCAGATTCCCACCCGAGTGCTCCCTGGGTGTCATGTCATCCTTGTTTAACATTTGGCAAATCAATTGTCTTGTTGCTAAAAGTAAGTTATTATGTCTGTGCTCTCAATGATCCTAAATGTAATCCGCGTTAATATTCCTCTTCCAAAAAATGTTTTTTATTTTTACATTAATTATAATATAAATAAGCATATTTTATTCATAATTACTAGACTATAATAAACACATATTATACAGTAAGAGCCAATTTTATTAATTTTCTTTATGAACAAAGCTTTCTTGTATTCAAATTTTTATTTCCATATTTTTAGATTGCCAAATAATCTAATTAATTATGTAGCTTTTAAACAGGCTGTTAAAGATGTTTAAAGATTTTATGAGTGAATCGGTCAAAAGCAGCAAGTGCGGTCCAAAGAATACAGTCAAATATTCTCCTCAAATTTGATTGTGATTGGTTAATTCTTCCAACTACATTTACGCAATTGTAAATCGGGCTTTACACAATCTACGTCATCGAAATAAACAGAAGGAAACTTAACCTATTAGTTGCTTTCCATTTATACACAAATAAAACTAAATTTGACGTCAGCTGAGTATGAAATACTCAGATTAATGACATATTATTACTACTTGCTTACTTTGGTAAAATTAACAAATAACAGTACAGGTTCATAATGTTATTTTTAAAGTGAGTCTACAAGACTTAATAAAGCACATGGATCTCGATCTTGTGCAGTTTGTAGGTAAAAACTCAGTTGAATCCCAGTTCTCAGAATGCAAAAAGAATGCGCATTCTACTGAGTTATGACGTCACAAGTGAGAATTATCTGAGAATCGGTGTAAATGGAAAGCAACTATTATGTTGCGAGCGAGTGTCGCGCAGTATCGGGTAAAAATAAGAACAATGACTAGTAAGTATGTGAGTGATTTATTCTCTCTTTACGGCATGTGAAATTCGAAATTGTGCGAACATATATATAGGTGCATTTAACACAAAAAGAAACAAAAAAAATGCGAAAAATTCTTTTACTACATCGTTACCAAGTAGTTTCTGAAATGAGTAATTATAAGAATTAATAAGTGAATAATCGGGTTTACTTTATTATCCTGCATTGTCCTTTTAGTTCTATAAAGCACATTTTACACAGGATATTATCCTTGTTTAACTGTTGATGAATAAGAAGGATATATTATGTGCATGATACTTTTTACGATATTATGTAAATTCATATTCGAGCAGTCTGAGTTCCAAAATTGACATTTTAAATCATATCATCTTTTTATCCATGACATTTTATACCACCATGTTTTATTTGTTATATTTAGATTTGGATAGAGAAAAGAAAGTAAACTATTTTAATTATATTTATGTCGATCGCGCGAAGAATCGCAGGTCGTAACTACCTATAGTTGATACAGGCTCGAAAAATAAATGTAGACGATGTATCTGATCTAAGTTTAATCGTTTATTAAATTTTCAGCTTTACGTCTGGCGTTGGTGCAGCTATCCGTTGGTGATGATAAAGCAACGAACGTCTCGCGAGCCGTTTCTTTTATCGAGCGCGCAAAACAGGAGCGAGCCGACATCGTGACACTACCTGAATGTTTCAATTCGCCATATGGAACTTGTAAATATGAGAGGAGCATGATATTATCTTTTTTAAATTACTTGTGTAAATGTTTTGATTTTTTTTAATTAACGGTATCCATCGAACAATCGTTTTGTTTTGTCAGAGTACACAAAAAACTTAAGGCAGTAAGACGTAAGCAGTAAGGAAATCAACGTTGTGGATTGGCTACTGCTTAAGTTATGGCCTTACGGCCTCTACTGTGATTGGTCAATTCGCTTACTGCTAAGTCTTACTGCCATAAGTTTTTTTGTGTGCCAGGGCCCTTAGAGACAAAAGAAACGTCTGATTGGCCTTTGTTATACTTAATATAGTTTATACAGCAAGTATGCATCTGTGTGCGAGAAATATTTTTGAAAAATTTTAGAAGGAAAGCTTGTGTGTTACTTTTAACACATTGATGTTTTCATATATGTATAATGAATATACTTGATGCATACATATATCTTACAAATCTGTATTTGTGAATCAAGTTTATATTACATATCTTAATAAATTATTATATAGTATGTATAAGTATAAATCTATACAATTAATATTCTCTCTCTCACACTCACACACACGCACACACACATAATGTACGAGATATCTTTTATACTTCTACTTGCAAAATTTTTCTGTGTCAAAAGTACAATAGAAAAATATAAATGAAAAGTATAGAAATAAAATATATAAGATCTTAGAAACTATATATATATATATATATAGAACTTAAATAATAGTATTTTGTTTATTTTCATTAAAGATCGATATTTTTGTGCCAAATATATGTACAATTTTATATACGTTTATTATTTATTTGTTTATCACGTTTTATTGATGTTTTTTTTTATAAAACAATAGCTCACTTTGCTCGATATGCTGAGAGTATTCCGGACGGCGAGACGAGCGTGGCGTTATCCGAGGCGGCAAGAAAGAACAATGTTTACGTGATCGGTGGTACAATACCAGAGAGAAACAACGACAAATTATACAATACTTGTACGGTATGGGGACCAGATGGGAAACTCGTAGCTATGCACAGGAAGGTATTGAAATTGCGGTTCTGTATAATGCGCATGTGCGTATGTGTAAGCAAGGGATCTTGTTTAAAATATCTTAATATACAATATATATGTATTTTTCTTTAGAATATATATATATATATTGAAATATTTAAATGTTTAGAAATTTAGAATATAGACGATTGATATATTTCTTGTAGATCAAGGATATTTCTTGTTTTTCAAAAGTATCTATTTTATATCATCGTTTATATTCTAAATTTCTAAACATTTAAAATATTTTCAGTTATTAATTTAAAGAATTTACACTTAAAATAAGTCGAAAGAGAGGAAAATATGTAATATAAAGAGAGAAAGACTCTTTTTTTCTACAGAGAGAGAGAGAGAGAGAGAGAGAGAGAGAGAGAGAGAGAGAGAGAGAGAACATACATATATAGTATGTATATGAAATTACAGGGTGCACTTTAAGCACTTACTTTTTTCTTCTCAGATGCATTTATTCGACATCGATATTAAAGGGAAAATTACTTTTCGCGAAAGTGACTCCCTATCCGCCGGCAATTTTCTTACCATCTTTGAAGCAAAAGGTTGTAAAATTGGTATTGGCATTTGTTATGATATCAGATTCGAAGAAATGGCGCGATTATACAGAAACAAAGGTGAACGTTGCAGTATTTTAATACACATATAATATGACAAATTGTTATATATTATATATATATTTATATATATATATAATAAGAATTTTTATTTCTTTATTATTATGCTCAAATTTGTGCAATTGCTAATCATCATGCAACAGCATTGATAAAAAATTGTTACATCTTTTATTTTCCTCATAATTTATGAATTGCTATTTTTATAAGGAAATAGATCGATTGTGTTCCATTAGTAAATTTGATATATTTTTTAATCTGATCAATAACTAAAAAATGTTAAATTTGCGAATAAATCTATAAAACGTATGTAAATTTATTTTGAATGTAATTGCATTTGCACCTAAATTTCTTTAGCAACTTATCTGTACATTACATAAATGATCATTTATACATATATAATATATTATATGTATATAGCAGAATATTTGAGATGATTTTGATACACTCCTAAACTATATCTCTAAATTTTATTCTATACGATTAATTAGGTTGTCAGATGCTGGTATATCCAGCGGCATTCAACATGACCACTGGCCCGCTGCATTGGTCACTGCTACAGCGTTCCAGAGCAAACGACAATCAATTATATGTAGCCTGTGTATCGCCGGCACGTACCTCGCCGCCTGGATATATTGCTTGGGGGCATACTCAGTTAACTAATCCTTGGGGAGAAATACTCGACGAGCTGGATGCCGTCGAGGATATGATAGTCTCTGATATAGGTATAAATTAATTTATTTTACAATAGAATAATTACTAAACGGCACAATTTGCAATTTACAAATCAGAATATTTAATAAAAATTAAATATTTTCCATGTGTGGTAAAAGTATTTTCTAAATTGCAATTAGCAATTATTGTATGTTTGAACTATGTACACAATTCTTTAACACGTGCAAATATAATTAATATTATAATTTATTACATTTAGTATGAAAAACATCAAATAAAGTATTCAACTGTACATAAATATACATATGAATAAATCAAGTTACAGTTACAAATTACTTTTTTGGTAACTGTAACGGTAAGTTACATTTTTTGGATAACAATAACGAAATTTACAGTTACTTTTATCGTTATTTTGCATACGATTGGACACGTTATTCCGTTATAACAATTACATGTTATTAATTACGCTATAAATGTGGTTGTAGGACATTAAATGTTTTTATTTAATACAGGCGTACAAGTTACATTTAACTTAATCTAAAATTGTACACATTTTGTTCTAATTGAGCTGTGTACAAAGTTTTACTTTGTACATTTATGTTGAGCAATTGAAAACCACCCCTTTTTGCAAAACTTCTGTTATATATTTTAATTATAGCGTTATAATTTTCTTTCTATTAAAATATTTGATTTACAGCTAAAAGTATAAATTAAGTAAAAATATAGCTGTATTATAATAAAGAGATTATGTGTGTATTTCTTAATTTTCCTTTTAATTTCTAACTTATATTATAATTGAGATAGTCCTATACAATCCTATATAATCTTCTAATTTTCTACAAAGTATAAAAAAATTCCTAAAATATTTTAGCTGTTAACTGCTGTAGCGATCCTGAAATAATCTTTGACAGAGAAATATATACAGTACCATTATTTCAGGAATTATTTTGCACTTCTATCTTCTATGTGATACATCGGACATATGTATATCTCAGTTTACTGTATATTTTATAGGTTTTAGAATTACGAAATTGTATTTAAAAAAAAACTAAAAAATAAAATTATACATAGTGTCAGTGTTATACATGCTATATATATATACATATATATATATATATTGCTTTTATTAACGTTTAAACAAAAAATACTGCAAAAGTACATTTTCAGACTGATTTTTAAAAAGTAACGGAAAAGTAACGAAAAGTAACGAAAAGTTACCTTTCGAGTAACGGTAACTGTAACAAGTTACTTTTAAAAAGCGATAACTAGTAACGCGGTAACTTGTTACTTTTTTTATTCAGTAACAAGTAACCGTAACTTGTTACTTTTAAAAAGTAACTTCCCATTTCCTGAGATTTATATATATATATATATTTGTATCGTAGGCATTTTAATAATATATAATTACACTCTACATATCGAAATAATACATTGTTGCAGATTTGAAAATTGTGGATGAAGTCAGAGAGCAAATTCCAATCTTTAATCAGCGTCGTACAGACTTATATGACACTGTTTTGAAAAAGAAAAATTAGGAAGACATAACGATGATGATAATAATGCATATGTATGTCATTAAGCAATTTCGTATCATTATAGATTATCCTAATAACAATATGATGATTAACTATTTATGGATATGAGTTTTAAATTTTACACTCTCGAATGCTTTATAGATAAGTATTTTGTATCTACACATGTTGTAAAGATACATGCGCGAGACGATATATTGTTAATTGCCGGCAAAATTGTTATGAATAAACTTTATATTACTTAATGTACAAATTTTTACTTTCGTTTTATTGTTAAATCTTATCTATCGACATACCTTTTCGTTACTCAAGGGAATCAAAGAAAGATTCGTTCAACTCAAGACCATATTCAAGTTTGTTTAGTATTTTGGATTAAATTTTATTGTAACCTCATAATATGGAATCTTATAATAATAAAATTAAAACGCCTTACAATTCAAATACAAATTGGAGAAAATAAAGGGCAATAGGAGTCGGGCGCAGAAGACGCTGCGCGATTAAAAACACCACTAATAAGTCAGATGAAAATCATTCGAATAACGCTCTTTTATTATAACAATAACGCTTTTACATCGGCTAACTTTTTAGCTCTCTTCAGAAAACAAACTAATTAATATAATTAATTAATACAATTTTTTCAATCAACGATGAGCTCCACGTCATGATAATTATAAGATAGACAGAATAATAAATAACAGACAGAACTAAATGGGTAAAAAAGAAAAAGAAGAAAAACCGAAAAATTGAAAATATCAAAAATAATAAATTGTGAAAACTCATATTATGGATTCTAAATGATTACTTATACATAAAAGGCCTTTTGATCATTACATAACATAATTATGTGAAAAGTACATATTGCAGTAATATTGTATAGTAGAGCTATCGTCTATCTTATTTATATTTATTCTTTTTGCAAAAGTGTTAGTTTTTTTTACAAATAAGCTTAAAAGAATTGGTCGATTAATAATTCTTTCTATTGGATTGGGACAGGTATATAATAGAATAGAGGAAGAGGAGAGCAATAGTATACGATTATAATAATAATTATATTATTATAATAAAAATACGATTTAAAATTTATTACGATATGTGGCTCGGAAGTACATACGCATTATCTAAACATGGAATCCTTTTTACTTTTTTTTTTAATGTTTAGAAAAAGATACAAAAGTGCGTATTTTGATTTAAATACTTGAGTATATCTAAAGCATCGAAAACTTGGCGAAACTTTTTAAGATTTTTTTACACTCAACAAACCAAGATTATACTGAAAAAAGCTAGATCACGTCCGAACCAGATATCGCGCATACTATGAACGTGTCTATTGTGGGGCGATGTGCAATACGTGTGTCGGTAATATGCGTAAAGGTACATACATGTTGTCGCACATTTCTAATACACACACATTGTATAAGAGTTAGGTATAATAATTTAATCTTAAACATTCTTTTTGTCAAACTCACTCAAATGGCTTCAATAGCACCGTTTGTCGAATTTGGCCTTGATTTTTGTGCAAAACTTAAGCAAAGCGCTTATTTACAGTTCAAATGCGAGTCGCGAGATTAGTCCGCCTTCGGTATTGTGAACGGATGAATTGAGATACGTCTTTAGTACCTCAAATTGACGCGATTGAAAGATTGCCTTCAACGTTTCAACGTGACATAAATATTAGGTAATAAGTGAGCAGTTGTTAACAACGGAAACATATTGCGAATGATTATCAAGTAGTTGCGCGAAAATGTAAATTTTCGTGTATTGGATCGAAAGATATACGAGTATATATTATATCTGCGAAATAAAAAATATATAAATTACATATCTATATGTATAGTATACATGCGATCCAGTTCACGCAGGATTTGAATGCATTTTTGAGTGTAGATGATTATTCGTAAATATTCTGTGATAAACCGGATCTTAATTTACACATAACATTATTATTCGTGCTATCAATCTCATGGTTTTTCTTGTGGTTTCTCGCACAGTCCAAGATTATATAGAACATTTTTATTAGCATTAAAGATAATTAAATATAATGTACGTTTATAGAATCTTAAGGATAAATATTATTTAAAAGAATTTACAATTCTATATAACAATTATTCTTTTCTCTTATAGTAAATAGTTTTCACGCAATTACATAATCGATTATGTAAATATAACATTAATCAACATATTATTATTAGATAATTATTATTAACGCCATCCTTAATATATGATTACGGTTGTTTCTTCTCATTTTTCTTTGTCTCCAATTCTCTTGAAGGGGGTCGCTTTTTGTAGCAGATACATTAATCACAGCACTACTAAACCTTTGAGATTCGCAAAGCCATTGTAACCCAAAGACGAGGACAGCAATTGAATGCCGTAAAAATATACATATATCACAGGCAAGCATACGTGCGCAATCATTGGAATATGCGGTGCCACAATACTGCAGACTCGCAAATATAACATTTGTAATATACATATATAGCGTTTATTCCTTATAGCAAGAAATGATTTATAATAGCACCGTATTTTCGTTTTCACACATTTTTTTGTCGTGAAAAGACAAAGAAAGTACATTCATGTGTGTATGTTACATTATTATATATAATTTGTATGGCCCCATATTGTTCGGTTTTCTGGCTGGTGTTGTGGCATTAGATTCATTAGAATACTGTGTCACATTTTGTTAAAAGCACTCAATTCTTTTCTACATTGTTTCCGACAAGCGCATTATATAAAGTATAATAATTCTATTAAAGTAACTCTACGGAAAGGCTCCAAAGTCGCATTCGCACATTGTTTACTAATTTTAATTACTAATTGTCAGATTTCGAAATATTAAACTGTTCCTGTATTACAATTTATTTATGCTTCAGTTTATTTGTCAGCCAACAATCAATGGCGCAATATATTGCAAATATCGAGAGCAATTATAATTAAAGCTTGTTATATCACATGAAAATCCAGGCGTTTTATAATTATCGTCGCTCTGAAATGTCATACAAATAATAGTTAATTAGTATAATCGAATGTTAGTTGGAAATAAGAATAATCTCGAAATATTTTGTAATATACATGGAAGCGAGTGAAAGAGTTATATTGTCGAGATACAAAATATCCAAATTTTAACTGTTGTACAACGTTATCAATTTCTATTGATTATTGTTTCGAAATAAAAAATATTAAACACGTGTAATAAAAATTTTAACATATAATAGACATATAAGATTCGTGCATACACAAACAATAAGTATAATATTAGCGTATGTGCTTTTTTTCAAATTGTCCTCATGTTATATTTTGTGCTTTTCATATTTGAATATACTTATGATTTAACATATATATAATAATAATTACTTATGAATTAACATATATATAATAATAATTCATATATACCATACATATATATATATATATTTGTCTTGTTTAACATGTTTACGTTATTACAAACTTTTTAACAATATATCGCATAAAGATCGATTCATATTAAATCCTAATAAAAATCTTGTAATATAACGGCGAGATTTGATCGCAAAGTAATTTTTGTCTTTCATAATCACCAACGTTTAAAAGCTCTTTCTCGTAGAATAAACTTTAGGGGTTACTAAAAGAGAATTTCTGCTAAAGACAGATGACAAACAAACAAACAAACAAATAAAACAAAACCAATGAGAAAGAAAGCCTGATTGACTAGCTGGATTTTAGGTGCTTTTATATAATTTCGTGTGAATTTACATACGTATAGTATTAATAAATTCACACGGAATAAAAAAACAATTATCGAAAAATTGTTCGGCGCGTAGTTTAAGAATTGCATATATACGTATAACAGTATATGTATATAAATTCCCACAAAATTATTCAAACATCTGTAAAGATCCAGCTAGATCTTTTCTTTCTCGCTGGTTGTGCTTCTCATATTATAATGTACGGGTCCTCTATGAGAGATTTAATATTAAATAAAACAAAAACCCAAAATAATAAACTGTTGGACAATAATTTATCACATGCGCTTCTAGCTTATTCATACATTGCAATATATAATACGTTTTATGGTCTGTTTTCTGCTTCTGCATTAAACTGCAATATTAGAACTCTTTCTCGCTTCCAAGTTTTCAACAAATATCAAATATATGCCTGTTTCACTTTAAGTTCCAAAAGTGTACATACATTAGTTCAACCGCATCAGAAAACAAATCTTTATTCACAAGAAAAACAGTGAAATGTCTTTCTTTTCATAAAAGAAACAGTTGTTGTAAAGAAAACCCTGCTGAAAATTTTCTATAAAAAACTATAGGAACATATAGAGTTTGTATAGGTATTTATAGTTTTTAATAGTTTCTATAGTAGCGCACGAGAGCGACTATAGAAGCTCTACAGTTATCAATAAGATTCTATGAGTATAATAATAGAAAACTATTGCGGATTGGGATTTACCGATTCAAAACGCTCATTAAAAACTATAGAATTTTCTTAATAGTTTTCTATAGAAAATTTTAAGCAGGGAAGCGATTTACCGATTCAAAACGCTCATTAAAAACTATAGAATTTTCATAATAGCTTTCTATAGAAAATTTTAAGCAGGGAAGCGAACGAATGGTAAAAACGATTGAATTGGAAATAAAAACGAGTCTCATCTCTTTTCACACAAAGAGCTGCAATATTACGCACTCAATGAATTTTCTAGTACTCGTTTTTTTTTCGCGCACTAAATCTCTCAATCTGACACGTTCGTTATCACATATTGTTTTACGACATTGGAAAAATAAAAATAAAAAAAAATTGGATTTATTATTACGCATGCACATGCGTATAACATATGAGATCTCAATTTTTACTTTGTCGTTTTCAATTTCCTTTGGTCGTTCATCGTGCACGAATATTAATATTATCAAAGGCACGAGGATCAGATGCGTGTTTCGTCAATTATTATTATGCAATTACGATATCACTTATCCTACGATCATTCTCGAGAATTGTTAAGCCGAGAGAAAGTAAATTGAGAGAATTGGACAAAATGAATTAATTTTCTGACGATAATTTTGTGTGTATTATATTGCACATATTCCATAAACAAAACGAAATGCTGGATTTTACTTCGAAACGAGATCAAGCACGTCTCGTACATGACAGAGTGGCTGACATTCGATTGTGTGACCAGTGCTCGGATTATTCCAAGAGCTACCCACGTCATTTCTTATTTGATGTTCGAATATGTGTAGAATTTTGATATCGAGTTCGCATAGCGTACGTTTGATAAGTTTTATCATATCGAATTTGACAACATAGAAAAATATGAGAAAATGGGTTACGAAAGAGAAAGTGAAAATTGAGAAAGTGAAAAAGACTCGTTCACACGTATATGTACACGTTTGCTTGGAGCCTAGTCTCTATAACTTAAGTTCTTATAAAGTCTTACACGTAATCTGTTCTCTTATCCAAATTATGAAAGAAATGACAAAACGTCTTTTTAATTTAGCATGTGATACAATAATTAACACAATAATTATTATATTGAAACATATCGATCGATACGATTATGTCGAACTTTGTTATTTATTATTCATAAAATAAATATTCTGTTTTCTCAATTTGTGTTACAATTATTTAAGCAGAAACTCGTTGATCAATCTTCAATTAAACTAAATCGGTTTACCTACTGGAGAAAATTAATTCTAATTCTCCGTTAACTATACATAAGCTCGCGCTACACATGGTCGTCTTAATTGCTATATATACATATAGGCTAGGTATAAAGAATATGCTGTTTGTCAAAATATTGCGTACTCGCAGTATAAATATGAGACAAATCTGCTTCGTCGAGTCGTCTTTTTGTACGTTGTCATCGCATTGTCATCGTCTTTACCAATATCACTAACGGACGAATACTTCGAATTTGTCCTGATAAGGTTTATGGTGACGATAATTGCGTATCTCGTTTGATCGTAATTAAGGCACCATCGATAACGCGATCAGTAGACTCAATAGGTACAGAACAGGACTCTGCTCTTGGATCTTAGATGATCCGGCAGCATCGTACACGTCCGGACCACTCCAATCGTCACTATCATCCAGACACTCAAACTCGCAGCAACGTTCACCCACGCGGAACCTTTTACATTTCTGCGAAACAATATGAGATTACATTTATTTTTATATGTTTGTAATAAGGCTCAATAAATATAAAAATAATGAAAAAGAAAAATGGCTACGAGCCAAAAAATTCGTTAAAATATACATTTATTTGTAAATAAAAATTATCATTTGGTTAAAATTACGTAGTTTAATTAAAAAACAGACGTTTCGACCTCTATTAGGTCATTATCAATGTTATTATACAAAGATCGCAAGTTGGTAACAAATGTTCGAAAATTATAGAATTATAAAATTACATAAAAAAATATAAAAAACATGTATAAAAATGTGTGTGCAGTCTCACTCGCATATAGTTTGAAAACGTATAGAATTTGGCAAACTAGTAAGAATCCAAAAACAATGCAATTCGTCTATAGTTATAATAAATGTAGTTTGTGAAAGCGTGTAATAATTGTTTATAAATAAAGTTATAAATTATATAATTGTCATCGTTGTTATAGAACAATGCGATGAGAGCCAAGTTTAAGATGTTACACGTATATATGTATGTATAAAGGTATAGAAAGTAGAAACAATTCATTCTAATTTCTATACCTTTAACGTGTAACATCTTAAACTTGGCTCTCATCGCATTATTCTAACAACGGACAATTTTATAATTTATAACTTTATTTATAAACAATTATTACATGCTTTCACAAACTACATTTATAACTAGATGAATTGCATTGTTTTTGGATTCTTACTAGTTTGCCGAATTGTATACGACTTCAAACTATGCGAATGAGATTGTACACACATTTTCATATATATTTTTTTATGTAATTTTATAATTCTATAATTTTCGAACATTTGTTACCAACTTGCGATCTTTGTATAATAACATATTGATAATGACCTAATATAGAGGTCGAAACGTCTGTTATCTGTTTTCTAATTAAACTACGTAATTTTAACCAAATGACAATTTTTATTTACAAACAAATGTATATTTTAACGAATTTTTTGGCTTGTAGCCCTTCTTCTTTTTCATTATATATAAATTTAGATTATATACTTTTAAGGTATATTAATAATAATATTGTTATAGTAAAAATTTCTCCCACACTATTTCTTCACTTTATTTTTAGTACAGAAAAAACAATTAAAAATATTTTTACTTTAGAAAATTATTTTATAAAAATCAAATTTGACGAGAAACATTGTAACACTATGTCAAAATAATGTTACATTATTTTCCTTTTGTTGTGCGGGGATCATTCGTGTCCATCTCATTTTTAATAGTTCTTATTCCTCGAGTGTATACCCGCGTAATTTTTTAACTTTTTCAAATTTTTTTCAAATGATTACGCGTAGCCGAATAATTTAATAGAAACCTTAAAGAACATGGGTGAAGCATTTTAAGATGTAAGCCTTAAATTTGGATTGGACACAAGTGATCACATCCGCATATATATATATATATATGTGTTCCGTTGCAGGATTAATATTGTTCAATATTATCGACGTAAATATATATATTTATTTCATTGTGGTTTTCAGCGGTTGTCTCCTCTTGAGAGAGAACTCTATATATATATATATATATATATGTATAACATAACCGATTGCGCTTATTACGGCATATAACGGTACCACGATCATCATTAAGTGCGTGTAATATGGAACTTAATTTGTGTTGATTAGACGACCGCGCGGTGCATGTATGACATTGATTTTAATCAGCGAAATGGATATATAGAGAGTATAATTTAAAAAACGCGCAGTTAAAGCGATAAATGCTATATGTACATGCACGTAAATCGCAAGGTCGCCGCAACTCACTCGCAAAACGCAATTCATTTATGAAACTACGTCAGTTATTTCTTTTTCTTTCCTATTCTTAATTCTTCTTTGTCGTATTGCCTCATGTTCATGTTACATCATGTCCGAGGCTTTGTAATTTCAAAACTGTCTTTTATCACTCTAGTAATAAAATTAAGTACCTTTTAGACGAAAATGTTTAATGAGCTATTGTCTTATTTCGCGGTAATTAAAAAAGAAAGCGAGAACCACTATCAGTCAAAAAATTTAAGTAAATGAAATAAAATTAAGACACGCAATTAACTTACACAAGTATGCCATAACTTTTAAAATATACTCCTCAATTCCGAGCTAAAAAAAACACAGAATGCAAACGAGTAATGTAACAAAAGATATATAGAAAATTTGATCCAAGAGAGAGAGAGAGAGAGAGAGAGAGAGAAGATACGAATTCGAATTACTCGTATAGATATACATATTCTTTGTATTCTCGAATACTCACATATGGTGGCGTACAATAAATAGCTTGACACCACATAGGCTCGGAATGATAGCAGACGCAGAGACTGCAAACTGCAGGCCCTGGTACGTAGAGGAGACCGTGTTTGACAGTACCACCCTGAAAATCCGTACAATTTTCCTCCAGAGCGTCTGAAATAATTTATTACATCGCAAATTAACAGTTATATATGGTATAATTCAATTTTCGTAACCATATGTCACATACATTGAACGTATATAGAAACTTGGAAACTCTATTTGAAAATGAGTGTGATATCGACGAAATTTAGTTTAGAAGTGACATAAAAATTTTTTTAACCATTTACGCGTGAAACTTGCAATATTTAAATAACATATACATATATCAACCTTTCTTTAATAAATAGGATTGTTTAATATCAATAAAGGTAAATATGTAGATAAAAAACAAATTAATTTAAGCAGTAAGGTAAAACAATATATCTGACTAAAGTAACAAACATAAAAATATCAGGAGACGCGGTAGTGTCTCCGGCCAAGTTCAAAAACTGAAAGACACACTATACAAAAGTCTCTTATCCCGAGCCACCAAAGTCCATTTTTGGGAGGTGCATAACTACTAAAATATAAAAAGTTTTAAATCAAACGTTATATGTTCTGAAAGGCGGCACGAGTAATTTGAGCTACAAAAATTTTAAATCGATCAAGCCGTTCTGGAGATACAAGAACGGTCGAAAAGTGGTGATTTTAATGAAAAATTAAGAAATGTCTCCTTCTTCTCCTTCTCCTTCTTCTCTGTCCGCATTCAAGGCCGTATTAAAACTTTTTAACATCTTGTCTCACTTTTCACTCGTACCTCCACCATCTTCGACCCACCGGACCTCCTCCCCCGCCCCTCCCCCTTCCCCACCACCCCCCTCTTTTTGCCGTATTTAACTCTCTTTCGTTATATAATATTTTAATTTAAATCATTTTTTTATAATCTGTGATATATTTGTACTCTAAAAAGTAAATGATATCCTAAAAAAATCATATCATAAAAATGAAAAGTTCAAGCCATATATATGTACAAAAAAGGATACTCAAAAATTAAACCTTTGTTTAATAATGTATAATTCTCTTCGGGAAAATAATTCACAATTACGTTTTAGATTTCTTTGAATAATGTAAAATTTAATAATAATAGAATGATCGTATGTTATTCTTATAAATTAAATTAAACGCGCAGTTTATATATATAATTGTTTGTGAATACTACTCTCATATATATTTAAAAATACTAAAAATGATAAAATTGAAGAGTATATACACTGGACAGTATTTTTTTTGTAGACACTTTATTATCCAGATGCAGAGGTCTGATCCGCGTGCGTGCGTGCGTGCGTGCGTGCACGCGCGCTCGTCAAAACGATCAATTACTACGTTGAAGTAAATTTTTCTTTAACACGATATCCACTGGTTATCCAGCTGGTTATTTGCGTACAAAATTTCAAATTATAATTTGATCGTTCTCTTCCCGAGAAAGTACGTCACGTAAAATCCTGAAACAAATATTTAAAAAAAAGCCACTGGACGCAATATTAACATCTCAAATTCTTTTTAACTGGGCTAGAATACATTACAAGAACATAAGGATTTTTTATTTTAAGAAAATTGATCATGAGAAGATAAGAAGAAAACTTAATAAGAGATTTAAAGCTGCGCAGTCTGTTCCGCAGCAATTCTAAGAATCATGGATTTATACTTGCGGGAGAAAATAAAGTATTCCAATGATATAAATGGAACACTATGATAGTTACGGGGAAGAAAGTGAAGGATAAAAAATTAAAAAATAAATTCTATGGTATCCATCCACGGCTCGCGCAGACTCACACACACACAAACGCGCGCGCATACACACATGAGAGGTAAGGGGACTCATATAAATGAAGTACCTCAAACGTGAGAGACAAGGGGACTCACGTGTAAATAGAGCACGCACGCCCGCCCTCACAGAAAGGATTTCTAATACGAAGGAAAAGAATGTTCTTAACGTACTACTTCATCTTAACTCAACCCTATACATTATAAAATTAAGATTATTTTAAAATAAAATCGATAATTTGATTCTACACCTTCGAATAAAATAAGATCTTATCTTGAAACAAGTATAACACGTATAAATTTAGAAATTTATATATTATTACATTTAGAATAAGTCTATCCAGTTATACATATACGCGATGCTACGTAACATCAAAGCAGCGAAGCTCTCGTGATGTAGCGCATTAGGCAGAGAGACGCGGAACGTTCGAGTCCCGACTGAGCTCAGTTTTTCGTAAAAATATAAATAAAATTTCTTCCGCAGGAATAAAATAAGAATGTTTAAATGAAGAAAATATTGTGTCAAACTGAAATTTTTCTAGTAAGAAAATTAATGAGCTAACATCAAGAATACTTTATTCTAAATTTTAGAATTTTTCATTTAAAATATTCTACTCTGAAAAATAAATATAATTGGCTCTATATCAATCTTATTTTATTCTAGATCTTGAAGTAATAGCATTGAATATATAGAAATATTTTCTGTGAGTGCGCACGCGGATCAGATCTCTACATCGTGCACGTTTATTCACGATATCGATAATTTTTCCAATGTCTTTTTTCATTTCAGACGCCATTTTGGGTCCGATATTTGGAATTTTCAAAAACGCCATATACGGCATCAAAAAGTAGACATTTCAAGGAAAATTTGAAGACCAAAAAAGGAATTTTATCTCAAAAATTGAAACGGGCGACCGATTTAACAGAGAACGCCCCATATATAGATACATACATATGTATTCGAACCATCAGTCTGAGGAAATAACCGCATTCAGAAAATAGATGTACACCCGGACTTCGAAACTTGACCGGAATTCATTGAACTTTAACGGACTTTGAGAAATTTAACAGATTTTTTAACACAGGTTGTATACACCGAAATTCAAAAGTGATTACCTATAGTTAAATTATTTCTATATGCCTATCGTACTTTGGCCTGTTACATATTAATTAGCTACTATTTGCTACTTGTTACTAATAAATAATACTAAAAGCTGGAATTATATTCTTTAAATACATGATCTTTTAGTGACGATTTTGTCTATATCGATTTTATATGATATTTTGCGACTTTGTCACTTACTTGTTTTCGTCGTCAGAAAGAAAAGGATGGACAGGTAGAATGTCCACATAAATATCTTGCTGACGGAAGGCCTCTTCATGATCCGCGGTATATTTACTTGAAAAAAGTGAGATGTATCGATAGATAGTCTCTCCACGGAGTGGTCGCAGAGAATGCCTTCGGCTACTGTCTCCTTTCGTGCACTGACAGCAACAGGAACATGTTGCCTACGCGCGAAAGAATCAGGGGATATACATTTGTCATCGCATTAGATTGATTAGATCAATCTTGCGTGGGCTTCACTTAATGAATCGTAACCGCGCGATAATTATCATCATCTCGGCCTTAAAGTCCGATTACGACGGAATTCATGACGCGCGCATATATAATTGCGCGAATTAGGAATTCGCGTGAAACGCAGAACAGTTCGATGACTATTTGAAATTATACACATGCGGAATATGATAGATGTACTGGAGGTATGTAAATGGCCCGGTGAATCGCGTTACATAATACAGGTATGATTTTAATTTTTAAATTATAATAACTTTATTCGCAATTCTCTCGTGATATATATAATAATTCCTATGTAAAGTACAAGTTATAATTTAGAATACTAATTATCAGGGAATGGAAGTAACTCGTTACTTGTAACGAAGTTACAGTTACAAGTTACTTTATTCGTGATATATATAATAATTCCTATGTAAAGTACAAGTTATAATTTAGAATACTAATTATTATACATCTTTTTACATTTTAGGTGTTATACACGCATGTGTGTACGAGAATAAATTTAACATTTTCCATTTATTGCTATCGATTGGAATTTTCTGGATGTTCGCGTTCGTTTGGAAATTGGGATTTCTTAAATTGGCAAGATTTTCTCTTTGCGAAAAAGAGTCGAGCTTCGCATTCAACTTTTTATTGACAATAAGCTTTTTTGTCAGTTTGCTTGAAAGGTATATATAAGACACGAGTCCATATTCGCGATCCATATAATCGACGATTTCGACGCAACGAAAATCTGCCAAAAGTATGCATATTATTTTATAAGAGATATGTAAACTGGCGTGAGGTGCCTATACCATATATATATAATATTCTTCAAGCAACTTGTTTGTCGTGCCAAAAAGTAAGGCATTGAAGCTGATAAATACCTATATAAATTTCAGTAAATATACTATATTCAATGCTGTAGATATTATACGTGCATGGGAACTTAGATCTTTCATATATCTATCATATATATATGAATGATAGAAAATATGAGATTGATTGGTGTAAAGCTTCTATTTTCTCGCAACAGAGAACTTATTGAAATTACAAGTGCGTTTTGTAGTTGGGTAAGGTCCGTAAGGTCACGCGTGAAATGTGCGAGTATAAAGTCTTTGTGAATCGATTGCATCGACATAACGCAGTTCTTCAAAGCTGACGCGCAATCTGCAGGATCCGTATGCAAAGACAAATTTTATCGTGCCACCACGTGCCACATCGTCCGTGCTTATAATACAATATGTATACATTATTATTACACATACACTATATATTTTTACACATTACTAAATAGTTTTTTACTTTTATATATATGTGTATAGAAAAGACAATATTATATAAAGAGAGAATTATTATAATCAATATAATATAATTAACAATATCTCTTTCCGGTTCTCTATTTAACGTACAAGAAAAAAAAGTTACAAAATTCAAATCGTAAGATATGTATCTATATAAAATTAAAACAATTAAAATTATGTTATGTGTTGTGATACATATTTTGTCACACAAGTATATTAAAAAATATTAGAATTCGTGACTATAGAGTTTACTTTCTTCAACATCATTTCTTTTCTGCAAATAAAAAATACTGGAAAATGAAATCCTATGCATCTACATATCTTCCAATTGCAATGTAATTGTGATGAGTTGATTAAATTTGCAAAGTCACCATGAAATCATTATTTAACAAAGTTAAAATTATATTAAAATTTCTGATTGCTACAAAAAATGTAAAACCTTTAAAAAGTATACACAAGTAGAATTTTGCCTCGTATGCGATAATTTCAAATTTATATACGTATATTGTAACACAAGTTTATTAAAGATTCTAAATAATAAAGAGTGTCTGTATATATTTATTTATTCTAATAGTAATGCTCGGTTTAAAATTTGCTTATGAATTGTGACCGCGACGCGATATAGTGATATTATAGTGTATTATATCGCGCGATCGTTATAATATATTGTAGAAGTGTGTAAAACCTATTTTATTTTCTCATCGACTCTTTTTAATGCATTAAACCATTAGGCATCTTAACTATATAAACGGTTCATTTACTAGATACGTATCTTTTAAAAATACTTTTTAGAAAAAAGAAGCAATGTGTAAATCGGATGAAATGGAAAAGCTTATATACTTGAATTGATAAGAAAGATATAGGTAGGTATATAAGGAATAAAGGAATATAAAATTTCAGAAACTGTGTGAAAATGCAGTTAACGACGCTCATATCCGGTACAGAATTACGCTCGTCGTTGAGTAAAGGGATGAGATGGGTCAAAAGCTGTAAGTGAACCGCGCTTTTCTAATCAGTCTACAGTTGATACAGCGGGACCAACTCTCAGGTTCACAACGGGTGGCGATCATCAGTTAAATCCGCATACTAATACACGTGCTACGGAAATAAGAGAGGGGGAAAAGAGTTGTGTATTACCTTTGTACTACATCGTTCCGCACCAATCGTCCGTTTTATATCGTTCGCTTCTCTAAGGTGCGTATTGCTGTTCCGCATGCACGTGCATGTATTCTTCCTTTTTTGGAAGGAAGGGTATGCACAAATAATTTTTTGACTAAATCAATGCCTATATCGAATTTGGATTTATTTCGCGAAAGGCGAGAAACCAGTCGTTTCAGATGACAAGATAGAGAAAGTATAAGAAAAAAAAAGAGAAGAAAAGAAAAGAAATGCAATCGAACGTGCCGACTGCGTGTTTGTAACAAAACCAACGCGATGCAGCGGTTGGGTGCTGAGAGCCACCGACCGACTGACTGAACTCTGTCGCAGTACAAGCCCTCTTATACGGGTCGATCGAATACGTTCGCGCATTACCCCTCTCTCTCTCTCTCTCTCTCTCGCTACGCTGCGACGAAGCCACTCCTATAGCAGGGTAACGTATATGCTACCACTATATCGTCGGCACCGCATCGTCGTCGCTGCCATCGTCTACAAAAAAAGCGCATTTGTTGCAGTTGCTGTGTCATAAGATCACGTTTTGCAATTTAAATTAAATTGCAATAACAAAATGATTGAAATTAATTTGGAGATACAAGTTGACTGTAAGATCATATAAGATTAGTTGGAATGAATAAAAATAATATAGGTCGAAATTTTTCTTTTAAAATAAAATATTACCCTGTTATATGTAACTATCAGTTACACTCTAATCTATACGTATTTCAGATAATGACATCGCGCGAATTAAATGGATAAAGAAAAGAAGCGCGCCTATCAGATTTTAAAATTAATATGTATCTAATATGTATACTGTAGAAGTATATAGAATCACACATGAATGAATGAAACTTGGCCAATTTGCCACGAGGAATGCCCACACGAGTTATACCTATCAGACGCGACCGACTTTGAAGGCAATCTCGAAGTACGTTCGGGATTACACACGTCTACGTGCGCGCGTGAGATATTTTCTTAACTTAAAATCAATTAAGTCAGTTGAATTATTCTAAAATTGAAAACGTAATAAATGTGTAGATAATTTTGATTATAGAATTTTAATTTTTTACGGTCCTGTGTGTGATAAACGCAGATATCACAGTTCACGCGGTCGATGAAATTAACTATTAATATTTCCGACATCGCAGTTACTGTATATAATAATTCTCTCAGATTTTCTCCACTGCAGTCATCTCTTCATCACTGCGTTTATTATACTCTTTCTTGCGCGTGATCACACACGCGATCGTACCTGACTGCACTCCACTTAACGCTTGTGCAGATTCAACCTGTTTTTAATAAGTCTGTGATACTATTAATTTCATCCGTTTCATTAACTTACTTTTGCCATAATAATTTCTTTTTACATCATGACTTTCGCGCGAGAATTATGGATCGTAAATTATACATATATAATAGTATTATGGCAAAATTAGACAAGGTGTGTAATGTTTTGTATTGCGCATTATAATATATGATACGTAGCATACACAACCATAATAAAAAATCGACTTTAAAGTCGCTAGCGCGACTTTCATTTCTCTATGAGGCGTATTTGCCGCGTAACCATAATTAAAAGTGATCAAAAGTGATTTGCTGTTGTGATTTTCGCATTTTACTGATCATATATGGGACTCGCCAGCTTAAGAGATTTGTTTGCGTTGCTTGAAATGAGTTACATACATATTCGGTTGCGTTGAAGAGAGAGAAAGCAGATCGAGTGTCTGACTCTATCATGGTAAATTATGAGAATGCGCGATCGCATCGCTATGGCAACCGTAGGATATTTTCGATATACCGTCTCTCATACCGTATTGTACCATATACATGTCGTTTCTTCGAGCTTGAAACGGCTCGTATTTCAAGCCTCACTATCCAACCGAAGGAATATAAGCAAAAAAAGAATAAAATTGGTCTTTGGGAAAGAGATTCTTTGATATCCTCCGACAATCTTTGGCTTTCGAGCAATTAAAAATCATGAACGACTGCCTGTCATTAAATGCGACAGCCGGACGAGTCGCTTACTTGGCACACGAAAAGGTAAGGGTAAATTCACGTAATTTGAAATTGAGTGCGTGCGGCTCGATCGGAGTGGTCTCAGCCATTTTTAGACGAGATCATAATCGAACGTGATGCTTAGACATTTTTGTACATTATTACATATGATTCAAAACTCGCAAAATAATTTGGCGCCAAGTGTACGGAAGGCACGTAAGAGAAATTGAAAACAAAAGTTTGTGTGATATCAAGTCATGAATCGATAAAAATATATATACATTTGACTTCATTATTCAGTCGATCATGATGACTATTAATTGGCAATTATATGTTATTGACCGATACGGCGCGTTGATTGAAAAAGATCTCTTAACTTTAAATTCCGGAAGTATCTGAGACATTAATTATTAATAGTGATCTCGCTAATAATGATACGTAAACAATTAAAATTACTCTACAAGTTGAGATATCGTTAAAATCAATGATGACATTCAAATTGTACGTAAGTATATTCTGATTAAAAGAGTAAATATATTGAATTTTGAATTTAATGATAAATATGTTGATTGTAAATCAGGAGGAGAAACGTGTACAAGAACGTCGGCGTCATCTCGTTTATCTTATCGCCGCTTTTTTACGAGAACAGGGGTGAGCAAAATTTATATTTGTATATAATATTTAATACTCTCAAAAACTATTCAAAATATCAATTAAACGTTAATGCAATTAAAATCGTGTGTTATCATACAAATATAAAAGAAATAATGCCATCGAGTGAGTGAATATTTGGTCAAAAGCTTTTATAACTTAAATAATAAAAACTCGAAAATTCCTATTCAATTATAAACGTACGTTTTAATATTTTACAACTATTAATCAATTTTATTGTATTAAATAATTCTAATTAATTTAAAAAGTACTGCAAACTTGACGTAATAGCATAAATAGTATAGTTATAAAACGAGAATTATGTATATGAATATCGATATTCTTCACAGTTACTCCAGTACCGCGGAAAGTCTCTTCAAAGAAGCTCAACTCTCTCGAGATATTCACGTATGTGACAATATCGATCTCGAAACTATCATTCTCGAGTATACCGATTATTATTACGCCAAGTACAATAAGTATCCTAAGTTGTGTAAGAAGATTGAAGTTGGTAACGTAGCTTCAAATATGTAAGAAGTATAATTAATTGACTTTACTTGTATTTCCTAATTAATTGCGAGAGACGCCAATTTCTTTGCGATCGACTCGCAATAGATTCGATAAAACTGAAGCCACTTTATTTTTCATAACAGCAACAAAAGAGTAGAAAGAGTTTCAAGGATCTACTCAAAGCAAGATAATCGTATTACCGAGGAATGTAACAATACTGGCAAAAATAAAGTTGCACAAAAATATGCCACTTCCACATGGAATGAATTGAATCTTGGTATTACGGTTACACCGATTTTTCCCACAGAGAATGGTGATCGAGTCGTTTTGTCCGACGAAATATTCACCAGTAACGAAAAATCACTGAAACCTATCGATAACCTCTATCCACTTAGATCTGAACTAAAAGAAATTGCAGATATTATGTCACGAGTAAGAAACGAAAAAAATGCGATACATATTACAATTTTTATTTTATCAGAAATTACGTTTACTTTCTCTCTATGATAAAGTATATCAGCTTTCGTTACAATATAAATCCATATCGTGTTAAAGGAAAATATTATTATTATTACATATAAATATAATTACCATCTATCATGTGTAGGGCAAGAAAACAAACAAAATGCAAAAATCTGAATTATATAACAATATTATATACATAATCAAGTAATATATAATTTGTAGGAAATAGTGCAACAAAATTTGAATGTTCATTGGGATGATGTGAAGGGATTGAAAGATTGCAAATTGTTATTAAAAGAAGCCATACTTTACCCCATGAAATATCCAAGTTTATTTAATAGGAGACTCGGTTCTTGCAAAGGCGTATTATTATATGGTCCGCCGGGAACTGGTATGTAATTATGAAATTATTTATCATTCATTGATAAATTGACGAGAAAACTCATCCTCAAACAGGTAAGACGATGCTTGCGAAAGCAGTCGCTACAGAGTGTCAAGCAACCTTCTTCAACATCACTTCCAGTTCAGTTATCAGCAAATGGAGAGGAGATTCAGAAAAATACATACGCGTATAAGTGTCAAAGGAGATCAAATATCTACGATTTATTTCCAGATATCTATTTTCACAATCGACAATGAATACTCTTTTACATTCACATCTAAAATTTAAAAGAAAAAGATGATAAAAATTAAAGAAATTATAATTGATAAATAAATAGTACAATTCTATAATTTTAGTATTATATTTTTTATAATCACAAAATTATTTATATATCATATTTATTATTCAATTATACCTTTTTTTCATTCTTGATACACAAGTTTTTATCAACATGAAATAATAATTTGCATTGTTATTATTAACTTGTAACAGGAACACATACTTAAAGAAGAATTTTATTCTGTGAAGTTTTCATTCTATTAAATGCATTATGCAGATAAAAGTTTTAAAACTACTCTCAGTACATAAAATTACTCTCAGGATCATTATTTATTGGCAAGTTTGAATACATCCAAACAGAATGGAATAAAATATTATTGATATTTGATTTAGGTGCTCACCGATCTTGCTAAACATTATGCACCAACGATAATCTTTATTGATGAAATCGACTGGACGACCACGAAAAACATAGATCATACCTCGAGTTCGGAACCTGCTAGAAGATTTCGAGCTGAACTTCTCGCCAGATTGGACGGTTTATTGTCAATGGAATATACGAATGTAGTATTATTAGCAGCTACAAATGTTCCATGGTAAGTGTAAGCAAAGTGTACAGAAAATAGCAAATTATCTTTACCAGGCAATTTTGAATTATTTTTGCATCATTTGGATTTTGTCACACGCACGCACGCATACATAGTGTATATATATATATATATATTTATTGATTCACACAAAAACATATATAAGATTATATATTTATTCTAGTTAATCTTTCTAATAAACTCTCACGAGATTGAATTCAAAATATTTATCTTTTAGGAATATAGACATAGCCTTATTGCGGCGTTTAGAAAAAAGGATTTTTGTGGACCTACCCGAAGAAGCTAGTCGATTAGAAATATTGCAATCTTATGTGCGCGATGATCTGTATAATTCGCCGGAAATACTCAAACTTGCGCAAGAAACCGAAGGGTATTCTTGCGCAGATTTGAAATTGCTCTGCAAGGAGGCATGGATCAATCAATTGCGGCCCATTTGGGCAAATCTCGAAGCTAAAACAATTTCCGTGAATAATATTCAAAATGATGGTTTAATTAGTGCGATTAATCATATTGCGCTTGCTAAAGTCAAGGTAAAACCCATTACCAAACATATAAACGCACAATATATGGAATGGCATGAAGAATTTGGTTTTTCAAAATAAGAAAAGATAATGAAGTAGTTGTTCTATCAGACAAGTTATTATAACACAAAACAAATATGTATATCCATGAAATAATGTAAATTAATTTTTTTTGTAAAATAATATTTCGTAAATACGTTTAAAATATTTGTAAAATTTATACCAGCTGTTTATATACATTATAATGCTATATACATTTTACTGTAATTGTAATATAATTAAATATTATATTCTGAAATTAATAAAAATATAAGACATAAGTATGTATATATGCGCGCGTGTATTTGCAAAGCATATAAAAAAATAATATATAAATTTTACAAATATATAATATTTTGTATGGACGTATACGCGCGCTTGCGTGCAAACACACAGTGTATGTGTGTATAATTGTTTCTTTCATCAATGTTTTTTTAATTAATTTTTCATAATCTAAAAATATTCTGTAAAATAAGTCTGAAAGGTTTTAAATAGTTTAATAAAAGTTTGTTTATTAACATAATATGTAAATTGAAATATAGAAATTATATGCATGCTATGGGAAAGTAATTATTTTTATACAGGCTACTGACAGTTTCTTCTCTTATGCTGATTAATTTTTGCTTGCTTTAATCCGTGATAATAACCTATATAAAAAAATTTATGACATATATATATATATATATATATTAACATACATTATTTAAAAATATAAATGGCACAAAAATTATAAAAATATGTATATATTTTTTGTTAATAACTTTTGCTTTTTTTCTATAATTTTTCAAACTTTTCCGTCTCTTTTTTTATATTAAAATTAAACTTTATTCTTGAAAAATAACATTTAATAATATACTATTTGAATAAATACATATTTTTAACTAGTGATGTATACATTCGTGAGTGTGTGTGTGTGTATATATCTACACACACCCGCACGCACGCACGTACGCACATAAATTTATACAAATAGAGAATTTAAATTATGCTCGACGTATGTTCTGTAAAAAGATTATAATTCCAAAAATATATTAAATATAAATTATTTAAAAAAATAATAGATACTTGTATTCTAAATTACCTGTGTGAAATCCACTTAGATACCATGACATCAACATACTAGACAATGCATCTGCATCAGTTTCGGGTAACCTATAAATGAAAGTCTTATAATATCACAATTGAAGAATTGTTTTCATCTCTGATTTGTCATTCTCACTTAGCCATTAACGGTGGTAAGGGTGGTGCGGGTGGCATTGCATCTATCGCTGGATTCAAATATTCAAGTCCAGGTATAACATTATGTTTAAATAATCTAGGATCCTCTGTATCACAATCCATTTTTTCACTATTAATTTGTTTGGAATCCCGCAGATTAGAATAAGTGGATGTATCAGAATCTATGATTTCTTCATTAGTTTTTTGTGCTGCATCCTTTTGTTGAGCGATTTGACTTTGTAATCCTTCAGATTCCAGAAGAGAATTTATTTCCACTTTTTCTGTATTCTGATATCCTGCAAATAATATAAATTATTGCTATAAAAATTATCCCATTAAAAATTACATTACTCCAATTAAAATATGAAATTAGGGCATATGAGAATGCTATAATTATTGTGTGAGCACTAAGGCTTTTACTTTATTATATCAATATTAAAAAATAACGATTTACATTCTTCCAAATTACTCTAATTGTATGTACTTTGTAAGTATCGTTATTTATCTTACATACACATGCACACGCACACATACGCACACACACGCGCGCGCACGAACACACACACACACACACACACACGTGCATGCAAGCGTATACATATATCTATATATGTACACATGCATTCACATGTTAAAACCTTATATATCTAACTAGTCTTAGTCATCATTAGTATTAGTGTACATAGTGATATATACACTGATTAACCAAGTGTTATTTAATATTATATATAATTATGATACAAGAATATTATAAAATTATATTAACATAAAATAGTTACCAACAAACTTCACTGTACACATGCCAGAATTTGGATGAATTTTTGATATAATGGCTTCATATACTTCTCCATCTACAGAGTATACAGCACGGCAAGGGGCACCAACAGTCCATTTCTACAATATAACGACCACATAAAAAAAAATATTTCTTATACATAAATATATATTTTTGATAAAACAAATATAATATACCTTTGAAGGTTTTTTAATATGATTTGAATGTTTTAAATTTGACAACTTGTGTTTTGTTTGCTGAGTTTGCATGTCTGTAGCAATACGTTTTGCTACTTCTTCCTTGACCAAATTTACAGCTCTATCATATGCTTGTATTAATGCAGTATCATCCCAGATATCTTCAACCTCACTATTCTATTGTCAGTATTTACATAATATTAACATACATTAATTTTTATTATATTATACAACTAAATTCTTATTATTACAATTTTTTTTATAATTCCTATATCCTGCTTCTGTATATAAATAATATAAACACACTGAGAGTTTGACAACCAAGTCAAGACTTCTATATTAACAAACTAGTTTTTTAAAATCAAGATCCCTGTATATTCTTGGAACGTATGGTTTTATGTATTTTATATCATCCTTAGCGTTTAAAATTAAAGGAATATTCAGAATATATTCATAGTAAAAAATGAGAAAACAAAATGTAGAAATTAAAAAGGGTTAAGCGCGTGTGTTGATAAAAATAAACGTAATCTCTGTTATTTTAAGTATTGTTTAAGTATTAAAAGGTTAAGCGTGTGTGTTGATAAAAGTAAAAGAAATCTCTATTACTTTAAGTATTGTTTAAGTATGAAAAGGACCTACATACATTTCCATTTCCTCTTACAAACAGCACACTTTTGTCCTCAGCCATTTTGTAACGAATAATCCAGGTAAAGATGCAATGGAAGGTAACCGTCTCAAAAATCGATTAAATTATACTCATTCGACGCGTTTTTCCATAAAACGAAAGATTCTGGCTGAAATAAGCGTCGCTCTGCCCCATGAACCGAGATATTAAACGTTAAAGTTGAAAATTATTGAGGTTAGGATATATGTCATGGTCACGTAACACTGCAATATGAGCATGCGCTGCGGTCACATTTTCATACTGGGTGCGTTTTTTTAGGGCTACGCACAATGGGAGAAATATTAGGAACAGATATTAAATATAAGAATTTTAACCTATCAGAACTGTGTACTGTGGAATGTGCGCTGACAGGTTAAAATTCTTATATTTAAATCTGTTCCTAATATTTCTCCTATTGTGCGCAGCCTTAGGCCGGAATCAGACTACGCATTGAAAATTGAGATTAAAGATTAAAAATTGAAATTTGACCAATGAGAATAAAAAAATTTTTGCTCTTATTATTTTGATTGGCCAAATTTTAATCTTTCAATCCTTAATCTCACTGTTCAATGCCTAGTCTGATTCCGGCCTTAGGCCGGAATCAAACTATAGGTCTGTTCTTTATTGCTGAACTTTTGCACCAGTTCATCTTTTTTCCTTTTCCCTTCTCCTGGAGAGAAAAGGAAGAAAGATGAACTAGTGCAAAAGTTCAGCAATAAAGAACAGACCTTATGCATTGAAGATTGAGATTAAAAATTGAAATTTGACCAATGAGGATAAAGGAATTTTAGCTCCTATTATTTTGATTAGCCAAAATTTAAATTTTCAATCTTCAAACTCAATCTTTAATGCGTAGTCTGATTCCTTACATGCAGCATAAGGGTCTGCGCACAATGGAGGAACAGATATTAGATATTAAAATATTAACCTATCAGAATCGTGTATTTCGGTGTAACTGGTATCTGGATAGGTTAATATTTTAATATCTAATATCTGTTCCTCCATTGTGCGCAGACCCTAACTTGCGTAAGCGTAATGGGCCTTCTACAATAACCCATAAGGCTGAAATCACACGGTACGGAATAGAACTGCGGAATAGAGAGTGCGTCATTCAGGCAACCAATCAGTGCTAGAAAGCAAAATGCGGAATAACGCTGATTGGTTGCTTCAATGACGCACTCTTTATTCCGCAGTTCTATTCCGCATCGTGTGATTTCAGCCTAAGAGCCCTAAGAGTGCAGTAGAACCAATCACGAGATTCTCTAGAAACGCGAAATGTTCGTTATTGGTTCTATTCTCGTTCCGCGTTACGCTATTCCGCTGCATGGGTTTGCACCCTAAAGGTTGATTTATACTGGCCGTAAACTGTTAACTTATGCCGTAATCTGTAAAAATTGACCAATCACAGTCGAATGAGAGGAGAATAATCGATTATAATTGGTCAATTTTTACAGATTACAGCATAAGTTAACAGATTACGGCCAGTATAATCCAACCTTAATAGTATAGTTCAGTGACTAAATTCACGAGCGCTGCGAGCGTCGAGAATCGGAAACTGAACTCGAAACCTAAAATGTGGGTCCACTTTTATTTTACGGAGTGCAGTCTCCTTATATCTTATTTCCTGGTCCTTTACATTTTTTGTTGATTTCATATCAAGAGTCCTTTTATTCAAATTTATATATAACATATATAGTATACTATATATTCTTATATCGTGATTTGCGCTATTGAACTAAAAGTGACACAAATAAAAGCTCCAAACGTAAGAAAATTTTATTATAAATTCCCTTCTGCTACCTCTCTCTCTCTCTCTCTCTCTCTAGATAACATGTGCATAGAGCATAACGATAATTATAGTAAAACACACTCGTGTTGATTAATAAAAATAGAAATAATAACTCTATATATAAATTATTCTGTGCAAAACAAAACATAGGGGTATATATATATATATATATCTCATATATACATACATACATGCATATACATTAAAGAGATATTCAGCTCTCAAAAATTAAATCTATGCCTTTGTTATTGCCACAACTAGGAAAGTCAATCGGTACGAGCGGCAAGTTTCCCTGGAGACCTACTCTCATTAAGAATTGCATTCCAGGCCCGAGTAACGGAGGATATACAGCAGTACTTCTCGCTTCCCACAGCCAATAGCCTGACAAGCAGTCATAGTTAAATTAAGTTTACTATAACTTACAAATAGAATACATACGCATGACGTACTCCCCTCCCCCCCTCCTTACGATACTTAACAAAATATTTTTACCTAAATTGTCGGTGTAAAAACGAAGAATAACATATCCTTTATTTGGTACGACAAAGGTATCTTTTTGCACTGGATTCACAAGATTTCGATGTATCTTTCCATTAAGGTCCAAAGATATAATATCGTTTTTGGTAAGAGGTTGCTCAAAACTTTCTCGAGCAACAACACTGGCATTATAACCATGTAAATGAAACGTATAGGATGCATTGCCTCCAAAGCCTAGGAGAGATACGATTTCTATACATTTACTGGCTTTACTAATGTTTGACAGTGGTAAATTTCCAATTTGTTACATTTATCGGATACGTATTTTCTTATGATACATTATATCTTTTTATTAAAATAAGAAAACGTCGACTATCTCAAAGGTTGGATTACCCGAACAATAATTACCTTTATTTATTAATATAATTTCGATTGTTTTTCGAGGTGGAACTTGGAATAGTTGCAAACACTCGCAAAATAACGGTGTATCAGCACATCCGCTAGAGCGTTTATTGAGGGTACAAATCGATTTCTCCAAAATATTTTCTGGTTGTGATAATATCGGAGATGGCGGATACTTGAAAGACATGCCATTAATCTGCGGTATCCTTATCGCGTCTTTCTTTAAGCCTGAAATTTTCCTTGAGTTATAATAATGACAAAAATATTATTATAGTTTTTTTTTATAGAAAACAAATATGTTTCAGTAGGTATATAGTTGGCACTTATATATATCTACATATATATATATCATTATATTTCTTAATTCTTCCTAGTTTTAATCCTCTTTTTGCATCTAATCTAAAGTATCGCATCATTAGCCACTGTTTCATTTTTGAAATACAATGAAAATGTTTTTTAATTTTTAAAAATGATTTTCAATGATAAACGAATTTTCTTACTCAAGTAAGCTGGATAATATCTCGATATATAAAAGTTGTAGGAATTGTCCGTCATTTCATCTGTAAGAAATGAGAAAGTGTTTGCATCGAAGGGCACATAGATCGTTTCATCCGCCTTTTCCTCCAATTGCGATAATTTTGCATTCTTTAGATCCAAAGAACAAATGACATTTTTGAATATTCTATGACAGTGATGGCCATTTTCCGCGATTTTAAATGATCGTTCATCGAAGTTATTAGTGTTTGTAGTCCTTATTGTGTATGAATCAAGGGCGGCACTTTCGTAAAAAATATATGCTTCTTGACGCAAATTGCGACATTCCCGAAGACCCTGAATATCGAGAGCGTACTTGCCGATTGCCTGTTCAGCCGTTAGAATACCATCAAGTCTCTCGCCTGAAAACAAATTCAATATTTAAGTAAATAATTAAGTAATTTATACAATATTCTTTTTGCGTTTTATTTCACATGCTGATTCTTTCATCGATGCGAAATTAATATTAATAATAAATTAATTAGAACTACTTGTTCCATCTTCGGACTGTGTGGTAAATTACCTACAAAATAAATAAAAGAGTAAAAGAGTAAGACAGTGAAAACTAATGTTTACCGAAAAGTAGAACCAGCTTTATTAATATTTCATCAAAAGTAATCGAACAAAATTTTTCCATAAAATTTTATCGACTATGATGGTAATCCTACAATGTGCTCTTTGTTTCCTGTTTCTTGTTGTTTATCTCTTGCCCACTCTGGCCTTTTTGACCAAAAGACAAGAGGGAAACAGCAAGAAACAGGAAACAAAGAGCACATTGTAGAATTACCATAAATTCTATCAAAACGAAGTGATTAAAGCGATTTAAAACCGAAGGTATCACATTATCACAATACCATTAGTATATACAGTTATAGTTTTATTGAACAAAAATGTACAAATCTCAACATTATATATATATATATATATATATATATA